TGTGTCATTCAAAAAGCACACTTCTTTGTTTTTATGTGTTTTGTCAGTTACGTGTTCTTGTCTTTTCATTTAGCATCCTGGCCCAGCCTGCTGGTTTTATCATCTAAGCATACAATACATGTGCATACATTCCTCTCACACCTTGACTATGATTGATGTGTTTTGAACACTGAAAGCATCCTTACTGAAATCTGTCCTTTTTCTGTAAATCAAGTGACTTTTAAGAAATGCTGAACATCCACATTTTCATTCTGTCTCCACCTTGACAGTCCAGAGACATAAACAACATAGAATGCTAAAGTTCAAGTTGAACCTGTTTGGCAGTGTGGTCTTCTTAAGAAACAGTGCTGTGAAGTCAAGTGATTATGAAGAATATAAACACCTATCTTCATCCAGTGTGCTGTAGTGCTGACGTTAAAAATGAAACTATCCTTTTTCTCATGTAAAGTCTGTATGAAATGCATCAGAATGAAGGAATATTGAAATTGGGGTAGATTGGTGGTATGGTTGTAGTCTCACTCCACCAGGGTCCTGGGTTTGATTCTGGGCTGGAGTGCTGTGAGGATGCATGAATGTATTGTCTTCATGGGTTTATGTGGGTTTAGTCCGGTTGACTGGCTGTGCTAAATTGTCCATGTTCAGGAGATGTTGGTCCCCCTTCCTCAGCTCTAAGCTAATCAACACATTTGTGTTCTCTCGAATGGACTACTGTAATGCTCTAGTCGCTGGGGTATCTAAATCTACTCTGAATAAACTGCAGTATGTCCAAAATTCGGCAGCCAGAATCTTGACCAGGTCTAGTGCAAGTGATCACATTACTCCTATCCTGGAGTCCTTGCACTGGCTTCCTGTCAAATTCCGTGTGGACTTTAAAATCCTCATGCACACCTATAAGGCCTGCATGGCTTGGCACCTCAGTACCTGTCTGAACTATTATCGCCCTACTCCCCACCTCACAACCTCTGCTCTTCAAATTCTGCCCTCCTTCCTGTCCCCCAAGCCCGTCTACATTGTATGGGTGACAGGGCCTTCTCCTGTTATGCCCCCAAGCTCTGGAACTCTCTCCCCAAGGATATCAGAGAGTCACCTTCTCTAAACTCCTTCAAATCCAGACTCAAAACCCTCTTCTTTAGAAGAGTCTTTACTTAACTGGTTCCATGCTTTACCCCTCTGCATCTACTTTTCTTAGTACCACCATCCACAGTCTCCTCTATATATTGTAATTGTGTTTTATCTTGTGTATTCGTCTTATTTATTTATTGTTGTTATTCGGCAAAGCACTTTGAGAAGTCACCTTTAAAGGCGCTCTATAAAATAAAGTTTATTATTATGATATGTCAGGTTCTGTGTAAGATGAGAGGCTTGTCAGAAGCTTTGGAACTGTGGAATGACCATAATCCTGAAATACTATTCTGTAACAAGTACAGTTTAAAGAGTCGGAGTTACCGGTCTCTTCCATCATCTCGGCGGTGAGTCTGTCTCTCCAGTACGTACTGTAGCTCTGAGAGTCCTCAGCTCACTGCCTGTCTGTATAAGGAAGTGGGGGACAGAGCCCGGGCCCTACAGCCACACCCACAGGGACCTCGCTGATCCAATGGGCTGAGGACTCGGGACAGGACAGGGGGATACGAGAGGGGGAGGAGAGGTGTGGGATGCCAGAAGGAACACATATCATGTCCACATGTTCATACAAAACAGCCACGAATCGTGGTTGGCTCTGACAGCAGAGAGCCTGAGCCTGGGATTCAGGCTGTACCTCCTCAGAGCCACCAGTGTCTTGGGAACATGTCACACGCAGAAGAGGAAATGAAAGGTGTTTAGTCGGGATAATTATGGGCTCCTGAAAGTGAAAGTTAAAGAGCCTGATGTGGACTCTCCTTTGGCTGGGTTTCCTGTGCTGCTCTCAAGGTTATTAAGTTGTTTCGCTAACAGGGCTCCTGGGTCTTTCCTCCTCTCCCTCTCAAACCCAGGTCCTGTGCTCTGAGAGCTGGATTCTTGTGCTCTTGGCAAGCAGGAAGTTGTGCCTCAGCTGGGAGTCGGGGTCCAGAGTGAGGAAGCTGCAGCCACAGCAGGCTGGAGACTGCAAGGGGTTCAGAAGAGATTGCAGGGAAGGTGTCCAAAGGCCACGTTGCACATGAATCTTGTGATGGTGCCAGGGTGTGCAGAAATACCCCCTGCTCCAGACACAGAGAGCACAACTGGACAAGTGGCATGGTCTTCCACCACACCAGCCTCTGTAGAAATTCAGTTTTGGTTCCAGCCCTGCCGACAGTCTGCCTGGGCACGCCTCTCAGTCTCACCCTTGTGAGCGACAGCAGTGTGAACTGATTTCTGCTAAGTCACACGATCACCAAGCCCCCGGGCTGCTGGTCACCCCTGTTCAGGTGATGTGGGAATCACAATGACTTTGTCTCGTGTGCAAGTTCACAACACTCTCACTAATGACACTCAGCAATCAGAGACTATGCCTACTGTAATGTCCCATTTCCAAGTGAGTTCATTGTCTGGATTGCTTTTACTCTAATAGGATTACATTTTAATTAGACTCCAGGACATTGTGTTTAATTAATAAACTGTTTAACTGAACCTTTCTATCGACTGTAATTGGCTGTTGAACATGAGAGTTTTAAGTCATCTGCACTGCTGTAAAGTTACCTTGGCATCAACAACTCTGTATGAGTTTAAAACAGTTAAAGATATATTATTTTTTTGAATCAATCCCATTGCAAACAAAAGTGGATTAAGGAAGCAGTCATAACTGTTAATGATAGTGCTGTAATGTGTTCACATTCTGAATATTACTCATTGCTCTCCTTTAGGATAATGACTTCAAAAGATTTGAGAACATCCATATACAGTACTTGAACTGAGCTGTGTCTCTCTGTCTGACACAGACTGTTTCTAATTGGATGTAGAATTGTTGGAAATGTGTTGGAAACCCGAATCACCTGTGAGCAATATTGAACCATGCCCATGTCAGGTAGATTCAGGATATTTAAGGTCTGCTCTCAGAGTACTTGGGGCTCTGGTATAGAGTTTTCTGCTGAGAGTTTGCTCTGTCTCTCTTGTGGTACTCCCTGGATTCACAACCTGAAATTGGCCCTGACCTCATCTGTCCTGTCCTGAGCTCTGTGTCACTCATCTTCGGACCCTCTCGACTATGGCTTTGGATACCCCTCATGTTTTGATACCGTATGCTTCTGGCTCTGACCCCCATTTTGCTCTGCTGTGCTCCTGCCTTGTTCCCTAGTTTGTTACTGCCCCTCGCCGGCCGAGTCCAGAGGCCCTGTCAGTCACATGGCACGCTGCCTGCAGACTCTCGGTTTTGTTCGGTTTTGTTTGGCAAAGTGCGGTATAAGGAGATGTTTTTCTGTTAGACCAGCATAAGAACGAAAAGGACTGAGTCGACAGTTAGCAAGTCATATGATGTATGTGCTAATACCTTGTTTGTTACACTGTATAAAAAGACTAACTTTATAACCATGCAGGGGGACTGGCTGTGGAAAGTTGCTTTCCTGTATGCATACGTACAGTAATAAACGACTCTTCTTTCACCTACATCAGGATTCATTTTATATGATACTACAATTAGAACAGGATTGAGTGTGGCGATCTGAATAGGGTTATAGTACATTCGTCTGAGGTGTAATTAATCATTTCAAACACAAGACCTTGAGCACGCTGTGCAGATTTCAGGGCAAATGAAAACCAAGATCGGTTACGACTTTGTACGCATTAATTATCAATCATTAATTACCAAATTCACACCACAGAGGTGTATTCCCATGGATTAATCTTGGAGTTACTCTGTTACCTGTGTGGGAGGCTCGCAGGTGATTCGCTCACTAAAGCCACATTACCCAGGCAGTGACGTCTCCCCTGTCCGTTATGAAGGTCTTCACAGCGGATATTGAGTGCAATTGTACATAAAATAGTTTTTTAAAACAAGGCCCAGAGGATGGTGGTGAGGAATGGAGGAGGGAGAGAGAGCCGGAGATCCACTCCTGGAGGGTCCTGGTGTAGAGAGACTAGACAGCCTGCAGACACACTGACCCACCAG